GTTGCATGTCATTCCTCCTTTGTTTAGCAAAGTTGAGACGGAATTTGCTGCGCGAGACTCCGCAAGAGACCTTGCTGAACACTTCGGTGTTTGGCTCAAGCGTGGAGTGAAAAGAGACTTGCTCTGCGTTTTTCACAACAAGGCCTCGCCGTTGGGCACCACGATGGCCATAGGGCGGTCCTCTTCTGCAGGCCCCCTGGCCGGGCGGATCGCTCACTGGTTGAAGGCCGCCGGCCGCGGGTGGCGGTGCGCCAACATTTGCGAAATCCCCAGGGGAGTAACTCTTCGGTGGCCACAGGAGTGTGTGGCAGAGGTCTTCCGGCGGTGCACCCATGCCCTTCCCTTTTCCCAGGCCTTTCTTGGCGAAGTAGACAGACTTTGGCTGGTGCGGAACGCCTCCCAAGCTTTGGCGGAGGCTTTCCCGCTGTGAGCTTCCTGGGCTAAGGCCGCCCCAGGGCCCCCGTCTACCGCATCACGGCGAGAGAGCACAACAGGAGCTGTAGACGGTCTCGGGTGCACCAGTAACTCATCTGGAGCGGGGCCATGGTTGTTGAGAGACCCATGCCTCGGCCGCCAGCACCCACACCCAGAACACTGGTTCGCCTTGATGGAGATCTCGTCTTGGCAGTCGGAGCAAATCCAGTGAGTTGCCTTATCCTGCACGTTGCCCAAGGCGTGCTGCGAGCGGCCGCACCCATTACAGCCATATCGGTGCAACCCATTGGGTTCACCGCAGCCGCCACAAATCCACCTCATCGTGTTATTGAAGGTGGAGGGCGGTGGCGTCTTTGGTCGGGATCCTCTCCTGAGGAGGTGCCTTTGGTGGGGGGCATCCGGCTCTGGGGCCTGAGAAGGCTTTGGGGCTGGTGCAGCCTTCTTTGGTGGAGGCGCCGAGGAGGGGCGACCGGGCCGGGCTTGCCTTACACGAAGGCCGCGGGACGCGCAGCTGGTCTCCGCCACCGGAAAAATGCCGCCACAGCGGCTGCAGTTCCAAAACCCACGATCTCCTCCACCTGCTCAGCCCAAACGCTTAATTTTACGTCTCTCGCGCGCTTGGAGCATTCTCGCGCACAACCATGATCCTCGCGGGCCCCAACATGCAGCGTAAGTCCTTCGCGTGGGGTTATTAGTACGTCGGTCGTTTCTCCATTTTGTACGACCTTTAGGGTTCAATTCGATTCAAGTTCAACGGCGAAAGCCACTGCCGGGATGGTGTTGGTGCAGCAGGTGTGCTGTTGGATGGAAGACGATGCAGTCTCTGCCAAAGGTCGGGCAGGATTCAATCCAAAGTTGACCCGATAAATTACGGTTTCCCCGGTTGTGCACGGCTTGCTTTGCTTTTGTTTCGCATGTCCCGGAAGTTTGGACATGTGTTCGGCGACCTGTGAGTGTAAAAAAAAAGCTGGATTCATGGGTCCTAGACTCCCATATCTAGGACCCATGAACCCGGCACCCTAAGCCCTAATCCTTAAAAACCTGGTAGCCGATAATCATACGAACCAATATATGAGGAAACGACCCACAACCTCGTCCTCTAAGCCAGGACTCGCCGAGATCTGCATGTCGTCTGGCATGCTTTCCATCAAAGCAATATGCTGGCACTTGGCATGGGAGCTGCATGTCGGCTTAAATTTAGGGCAGAGACACTCAAGATGCTTCTGCCTCAGTGCCCATGAGTTCCAGTCAGTATAGAGTATAGATGCATGGATGTTTTTCCCCAAGGCATCGTTGACACGAGTTCAGTACTGTAGCTTCCTCACTTGTGAAAGTGCATGCCCGGCCCAATGTCTTGGTGGGAGCAACCTGCTGCAGACCCGCGGGTCAGCAGCCGTCAAAGATGGCTGCTCGAATGGCCATCCTTCAGCACATGGAAGAGAGGTGCCACCAACTCGCCCCTGCAAGTGTTTCATATGCTCATGTGAAGCTGTGTGTAGTGTGCGATTCTTTTGCAGAAGAAACTTTTCTGCTTGCAGACTTTTCTTTCTTTGAAATCGGCGACAGGCCGCAGGCCGTGTTTGACATTTGGCAACAACACTTTATGCGATTTAACTTTCCGCCGTAGCCATTTTGGCTCAAGTGATTGCTCGAGATGAGCTTTTAAAACTTTTCGGGTGGGTCCAGCCATGGAAGGCCGTGCTGCTTCCAGTCGCTTTCTTCGCTGTACCGAGCATTACGATGTTGTGCGGCTTGTCTGGATCCACATGTCTCCAGCTGATCGTTTTTACTTTCTGCGTGTCAGCTGGCGTCTTCGAGCCTGCTTCTTCTGCGCTCAGCCTTAGACAATGAACCATCAGATGCCATTCGAAGCTTCTGAGATGGAAGGGGGTGATTCGGCAGAAGCTCCTTACAATGTTTGGGGGCTGATACAGGATGGTCCTGCCGCAGCCGGGGACCCATTCGAAGAACACCTTGAGGGTCTGCTTCGGGATGACATGGCAGATGTTCAGCAGTCGGACCTCTTGAGTGTGGAAGGACGCGAAACCTATGCTGAAGCCGAGATTCTGGATTTTTCTGCAGATGAGAGAGAGTGGTATTCTCAAGTTCAAGACAATGACTTGGGAAGTTTCGAGTGCGTGGAAGAAGAGATACCTGTTTCCTCTTCTGCTGCTCCTCCACATTTGCCAGGATCGAAATCCAATAAGCTGTCTTGGCTTGAGGGACCGATGGCTGAGCTGGACGCTTCTCAGATGGTGGCTGCAGCAGTTCACAAGAGAAGGAGGTTTGAGTTACCACGTCAGCCCTGGGATTCAAAGCCTTCACACCTTGATCAGTGCTCTGAATTTTTCTTGAGGCTTTCGACTTCTGTTGGGGTGAGCGAAACTTTGTCTATGGTAAAGGATAAGGCTCCTGAGCCTGATGTGTTCGCCCACATCCCTTGGACGGTGACCAGAAGGTTGGCCAAAGCGAGGCTGCCGAAATCGGATGCAGACATAAGGGATTCTTCTTTGAGGAGGTTCAAGATGCTGATCCTGATTGACCCTGAGGCCACAGCCTTAGGCAGCAGCCTGGTCGATCAAGGAAAGGCTATGGAAGATGACCTAGTCATAATGCAGAGCTTGGCAGACGCTTTCAGGGGAAAGGCGTCCTTGACTTTGCAGAAGAGATCCTTATCGCTGCAGGTTTTTGTGGTGAGGTCCTATGATGCTTCGCTGGATTCACCGTGGCGACTTAACGAGGCTCAAGTCTACGCGATCTTTTCAGGATTCAGGGAGCATGGTGCAAAAGCTTCTACGGCTTCTCATATCCTGGAGGCCTTGAGGTTCTTTCATGCCATTGCTCGTTTCAAGTACATGGACTTGGAAGCCATCTTGTCTTCGAGGGTGCGTGGCGTCGCACAGGACTTGAAGCTCAAGAAGGCTCCTCTGAGGCAGAGAGACTCTCTCAGTCGTCGGCGAGTGGAGGCATTGGAGCTTCTGATGGAGAGATGCTCTGACTGGACCCGATGTGTAGTCGGGCAATTTCTCTTTTGTATACACACATCATGTCGTTGGAGCGATTCCCAGAACGTTCTGTCTTTGACTCTCACCTCTGATGGAGAAGGCCAGTTGCTAATTGCGGAGGCCCTTGGATCAAAAACGTCTACCACCGTGGAAGCCAAAACGCGCATGCTCCCGTACGTATGCGTCTCAACTGGGGTGAGCAACACGCCGTGGGCGCAGCTCTGGTTGGAGGCGCGCGAGAGAGAAGGCATCCAGTTTGATCGAGGGTGTTTGCCTTCCTGGTCGCAGAAGTGGGGATGCTGGGGCCAGGAGCGAATGTCCTCAGAGGAGGCCAGTGACATCTTGATCGACATCTTAACCTCATTGGACATGGCCCCTGGACCTGATGAGTCGATAGGGACCCACAGCTTCAAGACTACCTTGATCACGTGGAGCGGCTGGTCTCCTATAATTTCTTTTACCCCGAAGGAGAGGTTGTTGATGGGACATCATCTCAGGAAGGGCGGCCCTTCTTCGACTCTGATTTATAGTCGACAGTTCTACATCAACTTGTCGGGCAAAATCTTGGCCATGTTCAGGACCATCCGTCAGAACCAATTCGACCCGGATGCCGAGGTCACGGACAGAGTAGCTGCAGTGGCATCGGCGCTCACCGGTGACACGACGGCTTCACAGGCCTGCGCTCCTCCTGAAGATCAGCATGTGGGTGCCGCCGATGTGGAGTCTTCTGAGTCTGCCGAGTCCCTGGTGGGGTATGAGCCGATGCCGCGTTCCGGCCGGGAGCTTAGGCCACCCTTTGAATGCACCGTGGCGGAGCTCCGAGTGCATAGCCTGTCTGGCATTGTTCATCGACTTAGGGATGAGGGCACTTTCTTTTGTGGGCGTCCCCTCACAGACAGATACAGGGACTTCGAGGAAGACGATGCCGATGATCCGGACACCTGCCATCAGTGCAGGCGGGCGATGTCGGGCGCTGATTGAACAGATACTTTCGAACGAAAAATCGGCCGAGCTCGTTGGTGGGATGTACCACTGCGGTTTCATTCATCGCCGGCTTTTGGCCCGTGGCGAGCTTGTGGCATGGCCAATTGCAAAATAGACGTCCCGATCCTTCGGATCCGTGGGACTTGCCTTCCCCATTGAGGAGTGAAGTTCATTCGACTTTGGTGTGAACTGTTGGGGCTGTATAACGTGGCTCCGGAGAATACACATGGCACCGGTCTATGACCCGAGGTGACAGACTGCGGATGCCGGCTCTCCGAGTCCGGGGCATACCGAAAACCCAGACCTTATCTCTTGGAGATGTTGCGGGCTAGATCTGATGTAGGACTGTGAAACACAACCCTACAGTATGCACCGGCCTATGGCCCGTGGTGCCGGAAGTTTTGGCGAACATGCGCAAAGTGACGTTGCTGATATCACAATGTTAGGGTCAGCTTTGCAGTGGCCTTGCTGTACGTCGAAGCTCGGATCCGGTGCCCGTTGGCTCAGACAGCGACCGAAGCATTCAGCTTCGAATCTGTGTCGGCGGCCGAGCCCGGGTAGCTTGCAGGTTGAGCCATGTCCTCTGTCATACTAGACAGTGAAGCATCATTCCGTGAAAGATGCAGCAAGATAGGCCTCAGCAACGATCTTCTGAGTCGTTTGATTGATGCTGGATACAACACATTTGGAAAACTGGCTTTCGCCGCATCGGCGACGCCGCAGGGCCTGACAGACGAAGCTGTCGATGCGTGGCTATCCACAGTAGTCACCCCGGCACCCAGCTCCTTTCAGGTCTCGGTGATTCGTAGGCTGCTTTTCGAGTCGCAATCACTCAATGTGGCGGACCTCAAATCTAGGGTCGAAGGCACGCCGGAAGGCTCAGTGCGACGTCTGCCCCAAGCCGAGAGAAAGGAGCGCGTTGAGGCGCAGCATCGTAGGCTGTCGGGTCTCATTCTAACTTCTCATACCACACCGGCCCATAGCTGTATCGACCTTGTGACTGACATGTACGAGAATAATACACTCAAGTACATTCCGATCAACCGTTGGATATCCCGCTTCCAAGAGATGTCTCTCCAGAAAAAGGATTCTGCCGTTCAGATGGACAACGAGGGCAACCTAAAGGTGATTCAGAAGAAGCCGGAGCCGACGTGCGACACCACAGGCATGTACCCTCTCCGGCAGGCTTTTCAGAGACGGTCACTAGCATTTGATCTGGGTCACTTGTGCAGCTTTGAAGCTATGGAAACATGGATCAACAAGCTCTTCGAAGCAGTTCAGCGTACTGTGCCGAAGGGATATGTGGCAGTTAGCTTGGGGCAAGTTGTTACGGCCGATCGTGAGCTTTTTGTTCGGTTGGCCGACATGCTTGAAGGACAGTTGCAGAAACCCATAGGCGTTGAGAAACCCATGGATGCAGCTTTGCGCGATCTATCGGGTAGCCAGGAGATAACTCAGTTTCTTCAGCCGCTTGTAGCTCCTCCTGCACCTCACCCCACGAAGCGCCCTTTCAAAGAGCTTGCCACGCCTAACAAAGGTGACGGAAAGGGCAAGACATCCACCAAGGGCGGTGAAAAGGGCGGTGGCAAGGCACCCCGTGTAACCATTCCGGATGGCTGCTCGGCCAAAGATCCTCAGGGCAGGCCGAATTGTTTTGGGTTTAACTTGGGCACATGCAAGCTCAAGGTGACAAAGGGAAGATGCCCGCGAGGCTTTCATCAGTGTTGGCGATGTTTTGGGGATCACCCCTTTTCCGAATGCACCATTCTGCATCAAGCTCTTCACCACTTTTGTTCGCACTTTCTTGCCAGATCATTTCTTCACGACTATCAGTCTGTTTCACAACACTAAAGCCGATTTGCATGTTGATTCCAGGAACCATCATACTCCTAACGGGGTCATAGCCGTGACATCTTTTCAGGGAGGCGGCATCTGGATTGCAGATGGATGCGGACCTCACACACGGTCAATCAAAGGTGACATCGTAAAGGGCTCAGTGCTTAGCCTCGAGTCCCCTGTCACTTTCGATGCCTTCAAATACCCTCACGAGACTGAAAGCTGGGTTGGCGATCGATTGGTTTGCGTGGCCTTCACTGTCGCGAGCCTTGAGAAAATCTCAACTGAGTCAGCAAGGACCTTGCTTAATCTCGGGTTTAGGCCCCCGCCTGATCTCTCCTTTCCCATTCCTGTGACTGCCCAGGAACAGCCGCCTGTGAAATCAGACTCCTGGGTTTACGAGCTTTTCGCAGGCAGTGCCCGTTTCAGCAAGGCTTGCAAGGATTTGGGTTTTCGGGTCTTAGGGTTAGATAGTTCTTGCTACCGAGCAGTCTCTCCCGTAGCCAAGCTTGATCTGACCTTAGATGCCGCGCAGGGAATCTTTTGGGATCTCATCAAGGAGTGCCCTCCTTTTCACGTGCATGCATCGCCCCCTGCGGGCACGGCTTCTCGCTCGCGCGAGCGCCCCCTGCCAAAGAACCATGCCCTTGCCTCTAAGGCCCCTAAACCTCTGCGGTCCGATGATTTCCCGTTAGGTCTGCCGTCATTGAGTGCCGCGTCTCAGCAGAGCCTCGCGGTGCGTAAAGACAACGTCCTGTACCGTTTCGTCTACAAGCTTCTCCTTCATTGTTCTGCTTCGGGCATCAATGTCAGCGTTGAGAATCCTCGGACATCGTTGTTCCGGAAGGTTCTTCAATGCTTTGCTGAGGCCGACGGCTTGCCTTGGCCTCCCGCTGCCATGGAATATGTTGATTTCGACCAGTGTTGTCATGGTTCCGATCGACCGAAGTCAACTCGTTTCTTGTGCACTCGAGGCTTGTTCACCTCGCTTCGAGCTACTTGCCCAGGCAATCACGAACACCGCCCGTGGGGCCTGGTGTTCCATGAGCGCTCTATGCAGCTGTCATCTTCTCTTGTGTCGGCTTACCCAGTTCTGCTTTGCAAGCGCATGGCCTCCTGTCTGGAGAGCGCGGCTTCTTTCAGGGGTTTGTCTTTGCACGCATCTCCTGACTTGGCAGCCAGCTCCGTTGCTGTTCTCGGTCGGCAGCATCGCCGCTTCCCTCCTTTGATTCCTGAGTTCCGCAATGTCACGTGGGAGCCGCCCTCTTTCCAGCCTGACGATTCTTGTCGCATCCTTCTCTCTCAGGTTGCTGGGGAGGATAGCGGGAGAGAGAAGGCAGCCATGCAGTTGACAATGTAGCTGTGTCAGACGGTTGGGTTGCTAGTGATAAAGCGGTTTTCCCTCCTGCTAAGCTCCCTAGGGTTTCCGATGAGGCTTCCAACAAAGTTCCCTCTGGTTTCCTTAAGAGTTCCGATCCGCCCAAAGGCTCGGTCAAGGTGGGATGGTACTTGTCAATGCAGGATCATGTTGCAAAGGCCTTGACGCTAAAGCATCCCATCGACACTGCCGTAGCCCTTGACCAGGATCAGCTCGATGCAATCTGCTTCTGCATGAAAAACACTGAGAAAGAGGTGGTCGATCATCGAAAGCTTCAGCTTCTGAAAATAAAGATCCTTGCCAAAAAGTTCGAGGCCGACGAAGCTCGATTACATTCTTCGTTCGACCCCTGGTTCGAAAAGGTTGTGGCGGGAAAGCGTCTTCTTCTGTGGAAGCATCTTCTTGAGCAGAACGGTTTCGACGACATGCAAGTTTGCGACTTCATGATGTCAGGCGTCCCGATTGTAGGGCAATCAGCCTGCCCTCAGCCGTTCAACCGAAAGATTGTGCCGGCTACCATGTCGGAACAGGATCTCAAGGGCACTGCTTCGTTCCGCCGAAAGGTGATGCTTGGGTCCAGTGGCACGCAGGCAGCCGACCTTCAAGAGTTGCTGTCGAAGGCTACCATGGACGAAGTCGATCTGGGTTTCCTGGAAGGCCCTTACACCGAAAGCCAAGTGTCTTCTTTCTTTCACTCAGACGATTGGAACTGCATACGAAGGTTCCTAATCCTTCAAGGAGCCGAGAACAAACCTAGACCCATTGATGACGGGCACGAGGCTTTGATCAACAACTGCTTTACGGCCACCATCAAGTTGGAGCTCCAGAGTTCCGACTTCGTTGCAGCTCTAGCGGCAAGAATTGCCATCGAGGAGGCCGAGAGATCACGCGCCACGGGCGAGCCACCTCGGTCGTGGTTGGGCAAGTGCCTTGACTTGTCGAAGGCGTACAAGCAGATGCCAATGAAGAAGGAGCACCGCTCTCTTGCTGTGATCTACCACAAAGGCCCTTCTGGCGAGGATCAATTTTTCATTGCAAATTCGCTGCTCTTCGGTCTTACTGCTTCGGTTTATGGGTTCGTGAGAACGAGCAGAAGCCTTCACAAACTGCTGCTGAAGATATTCAAGTTGCCCAGCTCAGTGTACTTTGATGACTACCCGATGTTTTCGACATCGCTTGCTTCCAGTGACACTGATGGCATCATCAGCGAATTCTTAGACATTCTGGGCTGGGGCCACGCCAAGACAGGCAGCAAATCACATCCCTTTGCGGAGGTTTTCTCCGTCTTGGGAATGCAGATTGACTTGAGCAACTTGTCGAAGAGAAGCATCGTCCTCTCGAACAAACCTGGCAGGATCGATCGGATCGTGGAGAAGCTTGAATCTGTGGCTGCTTCTGGTTTCCTTACGGTTCATCAGGCTCAGATTTTGCTGGGCTTGCTCAACTTTTCATCTGGTTTCTTTGCCGGTCGTGCCCTCAAGCATTCGTGCAAATGGCTATCTGGCTTTCTAGCTGGAGACAGGCCTTCGCCAAAGACAGTCAGCGAGATGTGCAAGCACACGATCAAACTTCTTGTGAGCACGCCGCCCCGCTTCATAAGCTGCGATTCGACCGGAGAGCCTCCTATCCTGGTGTGGACTGATGGAGCTTGGGAGCCTGCCAAAGCTTTTGCCGGGATCGGTGCAGTGATTCTTGATGCGAGCAGCGGAGTTTCCAGAGTTTTCCAAGGACAGGTCCCTGAGAGCCTAGTGGTTCGCTGGCGAGAGGAGGTCGGGGAACAAATCATCTGTGAAGTAGAGCTGTATGCACTCTTGATGATCAGGGCCTGCCTTCAGAATTTTCTTTCAGGAAAGAGAATCATTTTCTTCATTGACAACGATGCCGCTAGATCTGTGGTATTACGTGGCCAAAGCAGAAGTGACGCGATGCATCGCTTGGCCATGGCCTTGTCTATGGTCGAGGCCGTCGCCCCTTGCATCTCGTGGATAGAGAGGGTGCCATCCTCTTCGAACATCGCCGACTGGCCCTCTAGGGGCGAAGGTTGGAAAGCACAGAAGGTCGTTCGCGCGGCAGAGGTGGAGCCTTACTTTGTTGACCAATCTTTGATTGACGCCTATCTGCTCTGAGTTCGTCGATCCGAGGGGGTGTGTTCGGGACAAACTCTGAGCGGCTTCGTGCCCGTGCTCCTCGCATCGGCTGCGGCCCGGATGCAATGGTTCCCGAATTCCGAATTCGTTCAAACCCCTGATCGCTGAAGAGAAAACGAAGAGTGCGCGACCTTCTCTGCTGTCAATTTTTAACTAGACCGGAAATACCATTGAGCATCTAGCTCGACTCTGTTGATAGAGCCATATTCGTATCGAGCTGGATTCATTTGAACATATCGGATTGTGAAGTTTTTAAATATTCTTATTGTGAATATCACTGAGATAATACTTTGTACAGGATCGTCGGTAATTGCCCTTTTCTCAAACATCGCTGATTTTAAAGAAGAAACTTTTCTGCTTGCAGACTTTTCTTTCTTTGAAATCGGCGACAGGCCGCAGGCCGTGTTTGACATTTGGCAACAACACTTTATGCGATTTAACTTTCCGCCTCCCCTTTCTGGGTGGTGTTTCAAGAAGAGTATTTGGCATGCTTTACAGATCATTGTCGCATGCCCATGCTTCTTTGCATCATTGACGATATTTGTGTTTGTGACGAAGTGATTGCTCGAGCTGAGCTTTTAAAACTTTTCCCCGCCCGCCCGACCCAGACATCTGTGGGGGGGGGTGTGTTCGGGACAAACTCTGAGCGGCTTCGTGCCCGTGCTCCTCGCATCGGCTGCGGCCCGGATGCAATGGTTCCCGAATTCCGAATTCGTTCAAACCCCTGATCGCTGAAGAGAAAACGAAGAGTGCGCGACCTTCTCTGCTGTCAATTTTTAACTAGACCGGAAATACCATTGAGCATCTAGCTCGACTCTTTTGATAGAGCCATATTCGTATCGAGCTGGATTCATTTGAACATATCGGATTGTGAAGTTTTTAAATATTCTTATTGTGAATATCACTGAGATAATACTTTGTACAGGATCGTCGGTAATTGCCCTTTTCTCAAACATCGCTGATTTTAAAGAATATTTGCTGGCTTCAGATCGATTGTGACTGCAACCGACAAGGCTCTTGCTCAAGCCACAAGTTTTCCCCAAGATGCCCAAGATGCAGGTGCAGGGGTTCGAAATTCGGAGGAGGCATGGGAAGCGACGACGTGAGGCTCCGGAACCGGAGCCGGAGCGACCTATGGCTCTTTTCGAGACGGGTTGCCTGCCAGCGCGTTTCAGGAGTCTGCTCCCTGACGGCATACAGCTTCGAGTTGCATAATGAGAGCTTGCAGTGTCCTCCTTTCCTTGGACGTGCACCTCCTGATAAACGCTGGCATGCCTCACAGCCTGCTCTCCCTGCTCACCCTTGTCATGGGAAACATGACCCTGCCCCATGTGGCCTCTGGGATCAGAACCTTACAGCTCTGTGCTGCAAAGTATGTAGACCGCACATAAATTCTAGACAGTTCGTTTGCTTTATCCAGGAGCTGGACTGCTTGGAAGTTTTTGCCGGTGTCAAGACTGTGGCCAACGGCTTTAGGCATCGAAACTGACTTAGCAGTTGAATGAATGTGTGCGGCTTATGAATGCACAGATCCTCTGATATATCTAAGGCAACATGGCTATGATGCCGCGACCTTTGAGATATCGGATGGACCCGAGCAAGATTTCCTCAGCGGCCTGGGTTTTGCCTTGTGCATCTCGCTTTGCCTTCGATTGTACAGTCGTGCGGCTTTGCAGCATTTGGATGGATTTATGGCAGTTGAGATACATGTGCTCATTGCGGCTTCGAATCTGTGTGCATGCAGGGAGGATTAGCGTGGTTTGCGCCGGTTTGCTCCAGCTGGGTCTGGATATCGAGGCTGCATGGCAGATGCAGAGTCCCACAGATCTTGTGACAAGGCATTCGTTCTGTGCTGTGCATGCATGCATTGATCAGGGGCACCACCGGCAGATCCCCTGCTTCTATCGAGGGGGACGAAAGCGTCCCCGTCGTTCGGGAGGGGAAACTCGGCTTGCATTGATGAGTCCGATGTCGAAGATGCATGCGCGCTTGGCAGATCGAGGCAGTGTTGTCAGGTTACTTCGTAAAGTTCGAGTTTGGCAGTTTGTGCTCCTCTCTTTCGAACAAGGCAGTGTGACAGTATTTCTGACCAGCTATTTTCGGTTCGTGCTTTGAAGTTTTTTCGGTGCCATGGCGAACACCGATGCAGAGCGAGCAGTGATTGAACTGCGAGCCATCGGGATGGTGATGCAAATGTCGCTGCCGCAAGCTGTCAAGGATCGATCAAATTGCATGCAGTCATTGTTTTGCAGTGCGCCCCGCTGCAGCTAAATATGCATGCGCAGGAGCGGATGGAGGCCGCGGCAGCTCGTGGCGATCCGCTCACAGACATCGTTGCAGGCAACTACGAAGATATGTCTGCAGATGATGTGTGCCACGATTGCAAGGAACCAATGCACGCATAGCGCTTTAGATATAGGTGGCATGCATGCATTCATTCTTGCAACTGAGGATATCCAATTTTTGGATCTTTATCAATGTGCTTCGCTACCCTCCGTTCCAGGTCCGTCCACCCAGCATGGAAGAGGCCACCATCATCTTGGAGCCTTTCGTGGAGAAAGCCTCGATTGGATCTGCTTGGACGGATAATGCGATGAAGATCGGAGTCCTGAAGATGCAGAAGGTATGGTCGACTTTGCGAAAGCATCCTATATGCATGCAGGCATTGATCAGGTTTGCAGCACTCATGATCAATCCTAGGTTGCAGGTGCATGCAGCGGTTTGCGATCGAGCCTAGGCTGTGGTCCAGCTCCCCGTACTCCCGGGACTCGCAGCTGCAGACCCTCAAGAGTTTCATGAGAGTCAACAGTTCGAGAGCCAGAAAGCCGGCAGCCGAACCACAGCCGGAGCCGACCGCAGACGGAGAGGAGTCGTCAGGCGAGCCAGATTGCTCTGGAAAGTTTTGGGGCGATGAAGATGAGCGGGCGACTGTGGGTGAAGGCTCGGAATCGGAGGATGAACGTGCCGAGGATGCCTTTGCCGGCCCGGAGGATGTGCCACGGCCTTCAGGTGACGGGTCCAGCCCCAGCGAGGAGGATGTGCGATCCCAGGCGACAGGGTTACTTTTCAGTAGCAAATTTTGATGGCATGTTTGAGTGGTTCAACAGTTGAAAACAGTACGTAAATCTTAAACTCCGCTAAACACCCATACCCTATTCTCAAAACTAAACCCTACAGACTCGAGGATCTACCCTGTATATTCTCCAGTTGCCACCAGAGTCTAGCACAGACTTAGGCAACCGTAATGAACTAACTTGGAATTAAGGGGGCCACTGCACCAAATCAAGAAACTTTTGATACCTGCGAGCCTACATAAAACTTAAACCCCCCAAACCCTATGTGCGCCCTAAGCCGTGGTTCGTAAATAAATATAACTTCCAGACTCCCAAATATAACCCTGTATACCTTGAACCGCTCAATGCCCAAACCCTAAAATAACCGCATAAACCCCGACGGTTACGAGTGTTGAGGCGACGGTACGGTTCAGTGCGGGCGAGAATGACCCGCTCCCCGACTCAGCCACTAGATTGCATGATTAATATTGCTGCTTACGACAACACGGGACTCAAAAAAATTGTATGTGTAAGCTCTGAGGATGACTTCGATGATGTCTTCGGTCACAGTGACGCAGAGCCTCCTGTGAAGAATGATGCTTGAGTGCAGTCTTCTGTTCACTCGTTTGCATATTCTGTACACGTGTTACATGTGATGAAGACACATTTACGCATTCCGAGGACAGTTCGGACGTGGATGACTTCGATGAAGTGTTTGGTCACAGTGACCCAGAGCCTCCTGCGAAGAAGGATGCTTGAGTGCAGTCCTGTGTTCTCTCGTTTGCATGTTGTGTTCATGTGCTACGTGTGATAAATACACACATTCAGGACAGTTCGGACGAGGACGACTTCGATGAAGTGTTTGGTCGCGCGACCCAGAGCCTCCTGTGAAGAAGGATACTTGAGTGCAGTCCTGTGTTCTCTCGTTTGCATGTTGTGTTCATGTGCTACGTGTGATAAATACACACATTCAGGACAGTTCGAGCGAGGATGACTTCGATGAAGTTCGCGGCGACCCAGAGCCTCCTGTGAAGGATGCTTGAGCGCAGTTTTGTGTTCATGTGTTAAGTGTGATGAATACACATTCAGCCAACAGGATGTAGAGGAGCTGCTCCGAGCATCGTACGAGGCAGCCGAAGCAGACGAAGAGGCGAGGCAGTCGGTGGCCATTGTCTTTTTTGGATCACATAGTTGCACATATAATGCAGTGGAAAATCCAGGAGGAGCGACAGCGGAAGACTCGGAGCCCGTCCATGGATCCGGAGCGCATGCACCTTCAGTCTGAGTTCCAGTGGTAGAGTGGCAGTCCATGTCTTTATCATATGTTTGCGCATACAATGCAGGACAAGTGGCCTGTCGTTCGGCTGCCGTCCACGTGTTCCAAGATGGAGTGTATGGTCTTAAGAATGAGTGGCATGTTCTACATTTCGTTCACAAAAGTGTACATGTGTTGCAGGAGGATCCTGGGTTTGATACCTCCTCGGATGAGGAGTGCATTTGGCACCGATTGCATTCTTTGTGCTTGAACTTAGATCACAAACGGTGCCAGGAGGGTGCTCCGGCAGGCCCGACGAGGGCCGCCTCGGCATTGTCCCTGGGTGAAGAATGGATCCCAGCATGAGTGCATGCAACTTCGACATGACTGCGCGCAGGAGCGGATCCGCATTGAGGAGAGTGCGATGGACAGGCGGATTTCGCGGAGCAAGGCTTTGCAGCCGGAGGCGGTTCCTGCTACACACGCGGTATGTTGTAGATACGAAGAGGACTGCAATAACAAGACACACACACACATACTAAATATCTACATTCACACATACAAAGACTGTAAGTATGAAAACACATATGTGTGTATACATACATATGTACGTGTGGATATATGTAGATATGAATGTATGTCCACATGCATGCATTAAATATGCAGGCATG